TAACGGGAAGGTGTTCAGGGCTGCCGGGAGGACCCTTTTCTGTTTTTTCTTTGGAGTGATAAGGATCTTAATAAGGCTTTGGGTCTCAACAACATTGAACAGCGACCCTGTCAACAGAGAACATGTCATGCTGAATTATGTCTGCATGCACCCCTCAGGATCTCATATTGATGCAGCACCTACAGGTACAAACGGCAGATTTACAAGTTGAAAATGTTTAAATATACGTGTGCACCACCAGTCAAAAGTCTGGATACATCCACTTTTTCAAAATGTACGAAATATACCAAATCTAAACTAAAAAACTTTTAAAAGATGCATATATCATAACATTTTGTTTAGAAATGTGTCTAGAGTTGTTCTCACACTATTCACACACTCAAACTAAGCATACTTTCATTTGCTTTATGGTGACGCAGCTGCTGCTCTATTTTTAGTAGGTTTTGTATAACCTTCAGCTTGCTTTTTTTTTTTAAAAAAGGGGTTTTTTTTCATCAAGTGCTGAGGTTTATTTATTGTGATGTTAATAATGAGACTCAGGCATTTGTTACCGGGCCTCCGCTGGCTAATATGCTAATATTAACTGGTATTAACTGTAATGATATAAAGTTAAATTACAAATAGAAGTATTAATGATAACAGCTTGATTTGGAGTATCTTAAATTATGTTATATATGATACAGAGATGTAGATTTGTCTGCTAAATGGGCATGTTCCAGCACTTTATTGGACTCCACACCACTTTGTTCCAAACAGATGGGCCACTCAACTCAAAAAGTAAAGTTAAACTCATAGTCATAACAAGCCAATACACAAATTTTGTGAAACTTAGCTGGAAACTGTTTACATTTCTAACGGTATCACAGCCCATTGCCAAGAGAGGAAAAAAATTGCGGATCCTGTACATTTAATAAGTAAAGAGGCGTTCAGTTTGTCCTTAAACCAGCAACCTCCTCCTTGGAGTTCTTCCTGATGAGAAATGGACTCATCAAGCTATGACCTTTTAAAGGAACAGGACTGGTTTTCAACTGAGTTCAAAGCTATTGGGAAGAAAGCCATGGTCGTCGTTTAAACTAGAGTGTGAGTCTTAAATTGAGTTTGACCGAGTCATGATGGCTGCAGAGATACATTCACATCACAGTCTGTGCTTCCCACATCAGAAATGAGGGCTCTGCACCACCTTATTGTGGTAAGAGGAAGAGAGCCAAAAGTAGAAGTGTTTTTTTTTCATTCTGGTCATAAGATACATATTGTAGATACAGTTAACCAAATTTAGTGTTTGGCCTCCATCTTAGAGATAGAGTAATTGCCATATGATGGAATTGAGAGTCTGCTGAGGGTTCAGGCATGTATGAATACTTGTTAACTGCCTTTGGTTATCAGACACCAGACTGTGAAAAGTCTATCTGCAGCTAGCCTTTCAGTCAGCATCCTCAGCAAGATCCCAGCCAGTCATCTCATGAAGGGACCAACACAAATTTCTGTGACGTGCCAAAGTCTAAAAATACAAAGTCACTTCTGCTTCACTGAAACCCATCACAAGCACTTGACCACCACTCTGTCATCTCGGTGTTTCGATGCCCGACACCTCTCATTGAAGCGTTCTCGGAAATGACATTCAGCCACGGTGCTGCTAATTTGTTTAGCGGTTGGGGTATGTTGTTCCTGGATAAAAAAAGGGGCTAAAAGATGAGAAGTGCTTTCATAATGTGTGTATATGACATCATAATGTACTAGCCAAGGTTAAATGACACTATACAAATATGAGCTAAATGTCATTTACTTGCACTGTCAAAAGGACAATTCTGAAAATCTAAAGCGGGAAACTTTTCAGAGAAAAGACTGTCAAAGAAAACCCTGCTTTGATTTGCTCAAAATGCTAATAAATAAACTTTTTTTTAAACTGACATTTTCATAAAGAAGTTTTATTTTAATCATTTAGATGTTTTTTCTTGATATTTATCCATGTGCTGAGTTAGACATTGTTTTTGTTTTTTTCATTTTTCAGTCATCTTCAGTTATCACTGACCCCATTTCTCCAAAAGCCACAATAAAGGACTCGTCTTTTTTCATGCACCATCATCTCTGAACCCCCGACCCTGGACATTCGGACCTGTTTCAGTGATGAGCTGAAACCCGTAAAGGAGGCTGTCAGAGGGGAGGAGAGGCAGATGGAGACGGAGAGACAGACGGAGATGAAGATGCAGGGTGTCCGAGTCAGGTGGGTGCATGCTGACAGCTCTGAGTAATGGGGGCCATTACTGTCCCCCCCATTTTATCACTAACTAGGTCGAGTCTATACGCTTCCAGCATAGCGATCCAACAAATTAGACAAACTAATAATGATGTATTTTCCTACATAGAAAATACAACATATTATTAAATGCTGTGTTTGTTATTAAAGTACTTTATATGAATATAGACCAAAACAATCTGTTCTATTTCATAATATATAGCTCCAAACAATTAACAAGTGCATTATGGCATTTTTCTAACAAAACGAGGATAAAAGAATTGAAAAGAATGAAATTGTTACAATTAAAAAATGCAGAAGTAAAACTAAAATGCCCAAGATACAACAATTTCCGACAAAGCCATATAAATATGTCAATAGAAATATCAGAAACATATAACAACAAACAGGAATTAGTCCATCTTGACAGTGAAATCAGCTTTTTGTTCTGACATCAGTTTTTCTTTTTCCTGCACATTCAGTGATAAATGCTAAGTTGCAACTGTTTGATTCAACCAAATATTTTAAACTATCAATTACATGTTGAGAATTAGACTCTTACGGAAATCGTGTGCAATTTAGCCATGTGTTAATTGCTTAAGACCAGAGACAGCTGTAGCAGTTTTAGTAAATCATGAACGATTAAATGCTGAGCTGTAGGCCTCCTCACTGTTTCCAATTCAGCTCATTGATCGGTGTATCTGTCCCAGGGACATTTCAGGTAGAAAAAATAATGAGCAAGGGCTAATTTCTTATTTAACTCAAATGTAATCAAACATGCATTAACATGAAATAAGTAAAATAGCTATCTTAAAAATATATTAGCATCCATATTTAACGAGCCATAACATTTCATGGAGGCTTCTAAGAAGGCACCACCTCTGAGCCATCATAGATCATCCCATGAGCAGCACTGACTAAAACCTGAAGGTCCATCTGTCACTGGAGCACTAGCCAATCAAAAGACGAGTCCACTGCTGTCCTGTTGTGGCACCATTTAGGCTACCACACACCACAAAACACACACCGCAGACAAATACAGTAATATCCCTGACAAAAGCTGATGCATGCTGTCATGATGCATTTTGATTTAGTAATGGGGTAAATTTGCTCTGTGCATGGAGCTGGTAAAGTATGCAGTTTAATGTGAAACCAAAAAATACATTTTGGAAAAAATATGTGTGAGTTTTGGGAGATTTTTTAATAAAGAGGGTGGAAATGTCCAAAGATAAGAAAAAAAAAACATTTCTGTTTAGATTATATTGCTTCCACAATCACTTTTCCCTCAATTGCAGCTCACAATTCACAAAAACTGAACACTCAATGTTTATTTGTTAATATGAACATTTCAGGGTTTAAAAGAAAAAGTCACAGCATACTCTGTCTGTAATAATAGTACTTCTCTCACTCAATGATAAGCTTTGTGTCTTTTACTTTGGATAAACAGTCAAATTGCCTCTCCACAGATACTTCTTCAAATAATGCGTTCAGCAAGTTGTTATTGCTGTAACTCGGGAGGTAGTGGAAGTCATTCACCAGTTAAAAGGGGGGCTAGAGTATTTTTGGATATTAAATCACAAAAATGTTGATGGACTGCATTTAAGTGGCGCTCCATTCGTGTTTAGGTGTCACAATTATTTTTTCAAAACAATGTGCACAAACCCATGAGCACAATCAGACATCATTATACCAAAAAATCCCTACCTAAAACAACCCATGGCAAAAATGATTGAATCACTACACCGGAAAGATGCTTTCGGCTCTCTTATTTTTGTAAAAACGTAACCATAACACACATATGAAAGCCAAAGCCTGAGCATGTTGTAAAAGCAACACTGTCATGTTTTTTCACTATTCAGTCAATCTTTTAAGTGCTTGTTGAGGAAATGTCCCACAGGGAAAACACTTCATAATTAAGTTGCAAAGAAAACATTTTGTGTGTCATTTAGTTGCCTGTTTATCAATGGACGTGAGAGTAGATGTGTCTCATTAGTTAGAATGATGTCAATATGTAACACGGCAATTCCATAAGCACTCTGAATTGAATATTTTGAGTATTTTAAAAGGTGGACAGGCTCCCCATCCGTGTACTGAAGACTCTTTTGGCCAAAATAAGAAAGATAACCTTTGCTAAACACTACATTGCTTACAAACTGCTTACATCAGATACACATTATGTTAAAGCCCCAAATCTTGAATTATGTTGTGTATTTTTTTCTGACTGATTTCTAACTGATTCATTATTCCACCTCATACAACCTGTAACTTTGAAAGAAACTGCAGAGTAAATTCTTTGAAAAGTAGTATTTTTCGTGTCTACTTCATTCAAATGTCTTCCATTATATACTCAAATGTTGTTAGTTTGAAATTGGTGGTAGTTTTTTTTTACTTTGTTTTGATCTTATTTCTATAGACTTTTTCCAACAATTCCAGACACTCCTGCTACTATCTGGCCTTTCTGTGCTTGACTAGTGCAGACCTCAGAATGTATTATAAAAATGTGACTTCAGTTCATATTCCATCAACCTATGAAATTGTTTTCCTTACTGTGTGTGTTGTGTTCCTTGAGTGATGAACTTTACAGACATTTCTCTTCAGCTGACAGAACGGACAGTTCTGATCATGACAGATACCAAGAACAAGTTCCATCCAGTTACATCTACATGAGGATGTAAGCACCACTTATTGGACCAACACTCACTCAAAACCGCATGATCTGACAAATGAATTGGGCACACATTGAAACTGGAACTCTACATTAACTGAGCCTCTTTATAAGAAATAAGAGGGACTGTGGAATAAATCCAGAGCAACCTCAAGTACAACTTCATCATTTAAAGTAAAGTGAGCAACCATTTTAAACCAAGAAGATGCTCCGTTTTTTCTTCTGACCCCCCCACCCTCAAACTCCTAATTTGATCCCAGACTGAGCCTCGCCACCCTCTGGAGGAAACTCATCTCAGCAGTTTGAAATTAGTTTCAAGTATCACCCTGATCTGTGACCATAAGTGAGGGTTAGAATGAAGATGAATCGGTAAATTAAAAACTTTGCCTTTCTCACTCAAGTGTCTCCTCGTCATGAAAGATCAGAAGAGTAACCTCATTACCACTGACGAAATCCAAATTCATCCAGATACACGTGTATTCAGTCCTTATTGTACATACACACACATACACATGTTATTTATGCATGTGAATGTATGTAAGAATATACAACGTACATTATAATATATATATGTGTATATGTAGGAAAATACATATATATTTAAGAAGAGAGAGACGGATAGACAATTTATCAACAGTAAAAATATAATGAAATATAATACACGTTATGTATGTATGTAAATGTATGTAAGAATATACAATGTACATTACAATATATATAGGTGTATATTTAGGAAAATACATATATATTTAAGAAGAGAGAGAGGGATAGACAATTTATCAACAGTAAAAATATAATGAAATATAATACACGTTATGTATGTATGTAAATGTATGTAAGAATATACAATGTACATTATAATATATATATGTGTATATTTAGGAAAATACATATATATTTAAGAAGAGAGAGAGGGATAGACAATTTATCAAGAGTAAAAATATAAAAACGAAGTTACAAGGCCTTATGATTCAATGTCAAGGGGAGAAATTCTTTTGTTTTCCATTTTAATTTTAAAGTGACATGTCTAGAAAATAAACCACGATGCAGCACAATATCTTGCTTGCTTGAGAATCCACACATAGGTAGTGGTTGAGATAGGAGAAATGCTTACACTGTGTTTCATTACACCATCAAGCCAAAGGCAGCAGTGTGACCTAGATACCATCAATATTTCACCCAACAAGGCATGGAAAAAAGCCTCCCCTAACAGGCACACACACACACAACCCTCTAATGCACATCAGGCTCTCCCTCAGTCCACATGAGGGTTTTTGCTCATATTCTTTCAGACATATTTTAACAGATCAATCAACAGCTTGATGACCTGAATTTATAAAAGATGTGTTAATCACAACAAATGTTGTAAGAGAAAAAAGTTGTTATTTCTGTGGGCAAGGTCTCACACGAGATTGGATTTTTTTTTTTTTCCCCCATTGCCTCTGAATAAACAGCACTTATTAAAAGGCAAAGCAGTAGAGGAGAAAACTTCAAAGTAGCATGCTTTAAGCAGCTAAAGCTTATCTGGCATGTCATACTTCATAAGAAATTCATGCAGTGTCTTTTTTTGCAAGCCGCTGATGTGAAGGCTGTTGCTGCAGGCCGGTCTATTTGAATGACAATGATAGTGGCGAGCATACAGGCAATGAGATTGAAGGCTTTGCGAACCCCTCGGGGAACAGCCGAGTGCTGTACTTTGTCCTTCCACACACTGAAGTTAGCTGGCCAAATCATCGGGCAAGCAAGATACAACGCATCATGACTTACCGCACGAAGAGTGTCTGAGCATGCGTGCATCCATCGTGGATTTTTGAAAGAAAAATCACGCTGGTGATGCTCTTGAATATTTTCACGTGACATGCATCGTGGTCTAAACGTGTATCAGGCATGAATCAAGCCATAAAGTGTGATTTCATACAATGGTAATGAAAGCTGTTCCATTCTAATCACCAAACTAAAGCCTCTCGCACCACAACTTGTCAAATATTTGTGTCCCCCAGGGTACAGAAAGCTTTTTAGGGTCAAACCATTTTAGCGTTCTAAATGGAACATGGAGAGGTTGGTGAGAATTTGAACAGAGGAAACCAAACTAGAGAGCAAATTAAACTAACAGGCAATCTTTGAACTAAGATAAATAATAATTCATACGTTTGGTATTTCTCTCTTTTCATTCAGTAAGTGTATATATATATATCACTTTTGAATGAGTATAGATTAAAACTGAGTTCAAATATTAGAGGGGTACCATTTTGTGACTTAATCACTAACACTTAATAAGTTTTATGGATTGAAAACCAGAACGCTATCCTGCTAGAATCCAATT